TTGTTTCTTGTAATAATGTTTTGTAATTTTCTTTGAATAGATCTTTTGTGCTTCTAGTTATATTTACTCCCAAATATTTAATCTAAGACAAACATTTTCTGACAGGAGCAGATGAAAGACACCTTCCCAGTAGGAAAGTAACCAATACATTCAGTGTCAGTTCCCCACTCTTGGTGTATGTGGCTTGTCTCGTCCCTTTCCCCGCTCCACCAGCATCCCTTTTACTCATAAAAAAAAAAGTCCAAAGCATAAGAAGAAAGAAATCATTTAGGCGAATTAAAAATGAGAATTTTCTACAGAACAGAAGACAAGTGAAAAGTGACATTAGGAGAAGACATTCACAATGTGGATGCCTGATGTATACAGAGGAGAATATTGAGAATTTTAATCAATAAGGAAAAAAAGACAAATCATTCAAGATGGGCCCAATATATGAAAAGGCAACTCAAAGAAAAGGAAACTCAGTGTCCAAAATGCATATGATAGCCAGGTGCTCCCCTGGAGAAGGAGGGGCAATCTCCTCTTGTACCGGTTGGATCCAATTCAACCACACACACACTCTAAAAAAGAAATAACAATTATAAAAAAACACATATGATAAAAGACGCTTAACTAAGTTATTTCGGTCATGATGCAAGCTCTGTGTGGCCCTTTCACTGTGGAGGAAGTTGACATCGACATAACCACTTGGAGAGAAATTATGGAGGGAGTGGAAAATGTCTTATCTGCAGGGTTTCAGAAACTGAGTTATAGGGAATATATAGTTTAAATTTTCATATTTAATATCTTTCCAAAAAGATTATATATTTTTATGAACCTTCCAACAGCAAATGGAAGTGTCCGCCAGTCTTTCCATTTCTGTTGGTCTGATGTGTTGACATTTCCTTAAGGCTTCAATTTGCTTCTGTTTTGTTAGCAGGAGATGATGTACCCTCACCCCACGTGTTTTTTATTGGAAAAGTACATATACTTTAATTGGATTTTTAAAAAAAAATCCCAAAACCAACAACTAAAACAAATCTCAAACTCACTTCTGTCGAGTTTGTTCCAATTCATTGTTGACCCTCCACTGGGTTTCTAAGGCTGAAATTGCAACTAGAGGGGACTGACTGTTCATCCTTCTGCCTCAGAATCATTGGTGAACTTGAACCACCAGAGGCACAGTCTTTGGATTAGCAGCATAACTCCCTATACCTACACCACCAGGGTTTTACTTGTGTGTTTCTCTTGTCTCTCTGTCTCTCTCTCTCTTTCTCTCTCTCATTGTTGTTGTTGAGTACCATCAAGTTGAACCCACCCACAGAGGCAGCTAATTGTACTGGAGGAGATTACCCAGCCCATCCTATATTTTACACATAAAAGTTATTGCTGAGCACCACTGAGTTGGAACTGACCCATAGCTGTCCCTCCAGTGGGTTTTCAGAGGCATGAAATCACACAGGAGATTGTCTATCTTTCTCCTGTGGGTCAGTTGGTGGATTTAAAGCCCATGCCTTTGGGTTGACAACACAACTCCTTAAAACCAAGATACCAGGGCTCCTGAAATAAAGAAATAAATTGATAGATAGATAGATAATAGA